TGTGTGTCTCGTCGTGTGCCATCACTATAAGAGATTAGAATTTGTTTGTTTTTTCTTTTGTTTTACGGGGGCGCCATCAGCAGATGATATGCCCCCAATTTTCACTGATAAACACCTTAATCAAAGGGCGAGCATGTTTGGAGTGACTCAGATTGCGAGTCGAGCGCCCTAACCACTTGGCCATGCCGGGCACGAGATTAGAGTATACTAAACTTTACACATTATATAGGCTACACTAACTACAGTGATGTACGTTTTTTGGGGGGTGGTTGATGAAAGTGTTCCAAAACGCGACATTAATTTCTTGACGACCTAATATATATATAATCACAGTGATAAAGTTTAACAATATATAACTACTTTACCAAATATTAACACTTTACCTGGAAGATTCTTACATTTTATGTTTTGCTATGAACAGTCAAATAAAAAGAGTTGAAGATGGTTACAATTATATTGTAGAATGGGCAACATTTCTTATCAATAAGGAAATAAAGAAAATCTATAACACAAAACTACGACAAATTTATCACCATACACTGTTTCATACACTTAAAACTATCTGCCGTTTTTGCATATTTATTCTCCCTTTATTAGCAGAAATATTCTTCTTCTGGCAAGGCTTGGTGAAGGCAAAAAAAATGCAGCCACAGTGTTGTTACTGGCAGAAGTCCCCTGTCTCTTTTATTGGCCTCTTCTATTAACGGAACACTTTCCAGTCTCTTAAGATAGTCAAAAGAAGGAGGGCAACTCTCACAGTTGAAATTTGCAACTCGAGTGCAGTGAATGTAACAAAACATTTGTAATCTTCTTGAGGTAGTGTTGGAAACTTTCCAATCAACTACATTACTATTCCAGACAAATGTGGTAACTTAGTTAAAGAAGCAGAAGAGCTAAAGAAAATGTGTTTCATAATATTTGTCAAAAGTATTAATGGTTGTGTAAAAGAGCAATTTTTGCACCTCGAAATGATACTGTTAATGACACAAATGATCAATTATTGCAAAAGATTCCCATACAGAAATTCACCTACAGCACGACTGTCACTGTTCCAATTACAGGTTCCACTGTAAATTACCGAACTGAATTCCTAAATTCTCTTGAACCACCAGGGATGCCAGATCACATTTTGAAATTAAAGGTTGGTTCAACAATAATGTTGTTGAAAAATCTTGATCCTCCAAAAATATGAAATGGCACAAGATTAGTTGTTCAGACTTTACTGCCACATGTTATTGAAGCAACAATTACAACTGGTCATGTCAAAGGTGAAGATGTCTTCATTCCAAGAATTTCTTTGCTACCAAGTGATCACCCCTTTGAATTTAGAAGGCTAAAATTTCCAGTTACAATTTGTTTTGCAATGTCAATTAATAATACACAAGATCAAAGTTTAAAGGTTACTAGATTGTTTTTAAAGCAACCTTGCTTTTCACGTGGTAATTTATATGTAGGATGTTCAAGGGTTGGATCTCATCAAAAAACCTGTTTATATTGTCAGAAGAAGGAACAATAGCCAGTGTGGTCTGTCAAGAAGCTTTAATTTAAATTATGTCATTTTTGTTTTGAAAATCAAAAGTTTAGATAAAAATTAAAGTGTTATGAAAATTGAATTTATTAAATGAATGTTCTTAAAAGTAATTTAATCGTGCTTTTAAATACCTATTATAAGTAATTTGGACACCTGTGCAGGGAACGGGTAATTCAGTTAGTTTTTAATAAACTAATATGAAATAACTAGCAGTTAGTGCAGCAATTGAAGTATTAGAACATGACCTAGGTGTGGAATCCAATCTCCCCATTTGATCTAGGGCTGAAGCCCCATTTGACTTTTGATATTATGTAAAAAAGGCACAAGTTGAGAAAGTAATAAAAGAGACCTAGAATTCTTAGTCATCAATACCAAGTTGCGCTCAACCACATCTTTTTCTTAAAAGTATTTTGCAATGACTGCATTATATACTACTGCCACCATCTTTCGTCACCATAGATCACACTTCCAAGCCTAGCTTTTCTACTAGACCAAGGCCTAGTTGCGCGCACGTATCGCCGTAAGCCTATAATTAGCTTCTCTAATTTTTCAAGGGGCAAGGTGATAGGGCCTATAATTCGACTCGTAAAAATTCACATTCCATGGCCAATGAAGTGCTGAAAACCATTCGCTTGCGCCTATTGGATGACGCAGTCCTCAATGAATTAATCAGGGCAAGGCCTAATAAAAATAATAAGATTAGCTACGGCGCTAAAAAAATCCGCGATCAAAACTACTAGTAGTAAGCTGAATCGCTGTTCACAGCAACAAAGTATGCTTACAGGTACAGCAATATGTAACTTTAGTCTTAAAATTTCAATAAAACATGAAAGAACTTTGTCCCTCTTCGAATGAAAGTAAACTCAAGTATATAACAAAAACAGTATAGCAGCAGACGATTTTCAGCTAGTAGATAATGCATGCTAATGATCTGAACACGCGCAAACTTTGCTAGGGATTGTGGGAATTTCAGCATTTTGTTGAGCTGTCGACTTTTTCTTTTTCTAGAAATAAATTTTAAGTAGGAGCTTCAACAAAACTTCTTGTCTGATATTTTGAATTTTACTGTTGTAACACACATGAATTGAATGTGGTGAATTAGAAAACAATATTCTTCATAGACTTCAGCGATTTCGAAGACGCTTCAAACACAAATCCAAGATGGTGCAGGACACTGAGGCCAAGATATCTAAGTCTTTGGTATATATATATATATATATATACACAACGAAATTTATTTATTGTAGTTGAACAACGATCATTACAACTAATACTATAATAACGAAAACCAATTGCGGGTGGGATAGTTTGAATTGTTAAAAATAGTGCCTTTCTGGCAAGCATTTGGGAGTTAACAATTTAGTTCAGTTGGTAGAGCTCTTGCCTGACATCCGGGATTTCTCAGGTTCGAATCAGTGCCGAGGAAATCATAAACAAATTAATTAGTACAAGAAAAAACTGGTGCACAACTAATGGCTATCTCGCGACCTTTAGATAAGGTCCGAGAACGGGCCTTGTTTATCAGAAGAGGAGAATGTTGTACTTTGAATAAAAAACGTGCTTTACAAATAATCACTAGTGGATTAATCCGTTAGTTGAATACGCGTTTGATGTGCTAGGTGTCTCAGGTTCGATTCCGAGTTCGAGAAAATAATAAAAAACATAACTTCCATACACATAAGAATGAATATGAACAGTGAGACATACCTGTTTGGACACTTGTGTGTACTTCTCTGGTTCTATTGGCAAAAGTTTTTCTTCTGCGTTTTAGGCCTTTTTTTGATATTATGTAGGTCAGAGACAATCAGAAGGATGGCAATTCACACAGTAAACATTTATAAATGCAGTATATGTTACATAATGTCGGAATTTATAACAAAAAATAAAAATCGAAGGCGCGAATAGGAATTAATCATATTGACGTCACTACTTATAAGTGACTCTCACAATAATGAAGCGTACGATAACCGTCGTTATGTTAATGATGGCACAGTGTTTCCACTTCTGAACATTTTTATGTGTTCTTCTGTGAGAAGAGTTCTGACTATCGGCAGAACTTGGCAGAATAAGAAAGCCATTAACAGTTGAACAAACTGGTACCGCCTAAAAAAAAATGCAACTTTGATCTTACAAACCTAAAACAAGCAGTAAAATTATTATGTATTACTCATCTGTTCACAAACTATCAAATGCAATGCCTCATCTTTATGTTTATAATCCACAGGCAACAGCCATTTTCTTAGAAACAAACCCATTTTTTTTTTTTAAGTAATAGTCCGCTTGCTTGTTTATTTGTTGTTAAGCGCAAAGCTACACAATGGAATATCTGTGCTGTGATTTTGATGTTATTGGATATCTTTTTCTTTATGGCCCATTGAACTGGTGCATTTAATTATATGTGTCTTCTTCCATCACTTTCTTCAGCTTCTTCCTTTAAAGGTATATTCTGCAACCAACTCAATCAGTTTGAGACTCTGTAACTGGTTTGAATGTCTAATTAAAAGCAAATGTGCATGTAATTTTCATAAACCGATAGGCTTGTTTCTGGCTCGAAACTTCATGCAGTTAATAAATTATTACCATAGTTTTTAAAGGTGATTTTTTTTTCTAAAAGTCTAATTTATTTTATTACCTTCGCATTTTTTTACTTATTTATTCAATTCTCTTATTGACGATTTAAAGCTGTTTGCTATTTAAAATAATCACCCAGATGTGTACACCAGAAGCTGTTAAATGTTAGCATTGTGTATTCAAATATTAACACCCAAATATCTACGACAAAAGCTGTTAAAACAAACGTTGGCATTGTATATTCAAATAGTATAACATCCAGATACCTATGACGTTTCGGTTTCTTCACAACTGTTTGTTTCTGTTACTGTAGTCAACCTGGCTATTATACACAATGTTTTTGATACATACATAGTTCTGTAGGCAGATTTTGTTAAACACATGATAAAATGACAACCACAACCCTGTCAAGACGCCTA